TGTGCAGACGCTGGAGCTGAGATAGGCAGCTCTTCTCCCAAACGGTGGGTGGCCCCTTGTCTGCGGTTGCAAACCTGAGGTCACACTTCAGTGCATTTTGGCAGCTTTACTGTCAAAGTTGACTGGTGATTCACAGGTTTTGCTCTGCACAAATTATTCTTTTCCTCTGGTTACTACTGTGACTGTTCAAAGAAGTCATTCTCAAGGAAGAAGGGAGTTTGCTTGGCCTTGACTTTGAGCTGAGATAATCTTGTCCTTTGTCTCCCTGAAAGAAACATATGACAAGTGTAGGTTTTGTTTTAGGAGCCCTGGGATACTGGGGAAATTATCTCATCTACCAAACAGTCCCCATTACTTGGTGCAGGGGTTAAGAGCTCAGTTGCTACGTTCGAACCCACTAGCTGCTCTGTAGAAGAAAAAAGCTGATGATCTGCTCCCAGGAAGACTTCATTGTGGAAAATCTAACTGTCTTACTGAGCTGCTAGGAGTTAATGACCTGCTATCGGACAATAAGAACATCTAATCTATCAGAGTTGTTGGAATAACTCATTTAAAATATTTAGCCCAGAACTTGGCACAAAGTAATATTTAAGAAAGGGTATCTTTTTAGTTGCTTTATGGGTTTCAGTTTCATGATATGGAAAAGTTAGGACAGTAAGAATCCCAATTTCTAACAAGTATATAATAACTAAATGAGATAGATACATATGGCAGATATTAATTACTCCATTAAAAAATAAACATGAACAAGCAAAACACCGAAGCAGTGATTCAGACTTAAGGTCACCTTGTGTGTGTCAGAACAGAACTGTGGCTGAGTCTTCAGAAGTAGAGAACCATCTGTTGCTATATTGTTGGTAAGTGCTGCTGAGTCCAACTCATAGCGACCCTATGAATAACAGATCTGAACTGTGTCCCATCTGAGTCTTCCTTATCATCTCTGAAATACCGATGCCACTGCAGCAGCCACTGTGTCAGTCCATCTTGTTGAGGGTTGTCCTATCTTTCACTGACCCTCCACCTTTCCTAGCATGATGTCCCTTTCAAAAGAATAGCCCATCCTAACAACATGCCCAAAGTATATGAGATGAAGTCTCATAATCCTTGTCTCCAAGCAGCACTCCGGCTGCACATTCTCCAAGACATATGTGTTTGTTCTTTTGGTGGTCCATGGAACACTCAGCACTCTTCAACAATTCAAAGATTGCTCTTCTGTCGTCCTAACTCATTGTCTAGCCCTCAGATGCATAGCAGGTGATTGAGAGGACCATGGCTTGAATCAGGTACACCTTACCCTTTAAGATGACATCATTGCTCTTCAGTATTTTGAAGAGATTCTTGATAGCAGACTTTCCCAGTGCAATACCTCTTTTGATTTTTTGGGAAGGTTTTTTGGTATGCAAATCAATATAATTTTTTTAATTTTGTAAACTCTATAGCATTTTTTAGATTAATTTTAATGAAAGTTTAAAGAAACTTAGGGTTTCCATTCATTCATTGTTGCACTTTTCTCTCTACCCACCCTCTCCCCCACAATTCACTCTTCTCCTTGAAAAGAAAAAGAAAACCTCTTTCATTGTTATACAGACCCTCCCCCGCAAGTCCACTCCACTATGCAGCCTTCACTCGGGACTTCTGTAATGGCAAGGGTACCCACTCATATTTCCCTTTTAAACAGTTCTCTCCCTCATCTGTTTCAATGCAATATACATCATTCCTCCCCTCCTTTTCTGTCTTCCCTCAACCCTGATGTCAGTCCTGTTTTACAACAGTGGCCCTATGAAATATTTGTCCTTTTGTACTGAGATATTTCACTCAGCATATTGTCCTCCAGGGTCATCCATTTTGCATAATATTTTATGAGTTCCTTGTTTTTCAGTGCTGCATAGTATTCCATCTTGTGAATATACCAGAACTTCTCTATCCATTCATTTGTTGATGGGCATTTGGCTTGTTTCCAGCTCTTTGCTACTTGTGAACAAAGCTGCAATAAACATGGGTGTGAATCTCTTTTGATTTTTTTGACTGCTGGTACCAAGGAAATTGATTGTGGATCCAAGCAAGACGAAATCACTGACCACTTCAATCTTTTCTCCATCTATTATGATGTTGTCTATTGGCCTAGTGGTGAAGATCTTTGTTTCCTTGGTATTGAGGTCTAGGTAGACTCAAATTGCCCGTATTTTGATCAGCAGTCAAGCCTTTAACTGTTTACACAATATGAGATATTTTCTTGATTCTCTAAATCAGGAAATTAATTCTAATCTTGCCTCTTTTAACCACCTAGTTATGGGGAACTTAAATTACAGTTTTGTTTTATGCCTTTCTTTCCACCCTGTCTTATAAAGGTCTCTGGGAATTTTGTACAGGACAGAAAATCTGAGGCAGGGCCTCTGGTCTTCAGATCATGCTGGTTATGCTAGTATGTGCCTTGTACAAGCAGCACCAGCTGCTCTGAGGCTCCTGTGTCAGCTTGGGGCAGGTATGCACATTGTTGTATGCCAGAAAACGACTCAATCTCAGCTCTCTAAATCCCTGAATTACCACTAAACTTGCCTTAACAACATACTCATACATCCTAGCTCAACATGATTTCAGAGTTGAGATGATAGAAAAACAATTCAAGACTGGATTTCCATCTGCTTCAACTCCCATCTCTTTGGTTTATTGTTGTTGTTATGTACCTTCAAGTCAGAACAGTCTCCCCGCTGACCCTCCAGTGAGTTTTCAGAGGCAGTAAATCACGTGCAAGATTACTCATCTTTCTCTCTTAGAGAAGTTGATGGATTTGGATTGGGTGCTTTTGGGATGACAGCACAACTCCCTTATCTGCTAGGCTGTAAGAACTCCCTTCTCTTTGGTTGGCAAATATGTATTTGGCTACTTACAATTTGCCTAGTAGCTGAATAAGACAGATCCAGTGTCAGCTTTATAGATCTTACAGTTGTGAGAAAGGGGTTGCAAGATAACTATGTATTTAAAAATGATATTATAGTGCAAAGTGAGGGTTTATTGGTGATAAACTATCAATCCACAATCAATTTCCTTGGTACCAGCATAGTCTCTCCTGATGCCTTGACTATAGCCATCACCCTAGTTCCTATGACCACTGAAGAAAGTTCTATTCTGAGTTCTCCATGCCTGACTCACCTGCATCCACCATATCTTAAAGGTTGGTCAGCCTTGGGAAACTAGCAGCTCATGAAGAATGTCTCTCTGGCCACACTTGGCAGATCCACATGGATTTAACCATCACAGTCAGTCACCATATGCTTACCACACATCCCTATCTTCATGGCACAGAAAACCTTGCCTGATATTCTCCTGGACAACTTGACAGTGGAAACCTAAAGACTTAGCAAACCCTGGAGGAATTTAGTTTGTGTCCCAGGGTAAATCTGATTCAGAGATGGCACAAGAATCTCCTCTCCACAGACCTCACAACCCTTTCTTTGCCCCAAACCTTCAGATTTCCTTTCAAGGCATATTGAAGTGCTCTGGGACGAAACTCTTGGAGCACTTGTTTCCAATTGTCGCAAACACGATATCAGTTTAGAAGACTCTACATTGTGGAATATTGTAGAGAGGAGGAGAACTGGATTTCTGCCTGCACAAAGATCAGTTCCAGTGACTGGCATGGTAGGGCAGTGCCAAGAGAATGGTCCTGGGACCTCTTCCCCCCTTGAAATCAGTCCTGAGCATAGGAAACCCCTGATCCCAGGCTCCATGGCTGGGACTGGGGAAAAGGAAGGAGCAGAAATATCTTCTTTGGTTCATTAAGCTAGAACAAACTTCTTAATTCAAAGACCAAATCAATCTTAATTGCTGTTGAGTCGATTTTGACCCATGTGTTTATAGAACATAATTGCTTTGTAGAATTTTCTTGCTTGTAGCCTTTTTTTGTTGTTGTTGTTGCAAAAAGTTTTATTGTTTGCTTGTAGCCTTTATAGAGAAAATTGCCAGTCCCTATTTTGGGATAGGTTTGAGCCACCGATCTTTGATTTCATAATCAAAAGCAAACCATTTGTGCCAACAGGAACCTCTTCTTACCCTTTGTTATTGTTGTGTGACTTAAACTCTCTGCTGATTAATCAATTCAGACTCATTAAGATCCTTTAAGACAGAGTAGAACTGCACCATTTGGTTTCCAAAGCTAAAGTCTTAGTGGAATTTGACTACCTTCTATCTTTCCCAAGGAGTGCCTGGCAAGTTCACACTACTGACCTTCTGTGTGCCTTAGTCCGCATATTTGAGGACACACACTCTGGGGTGTGACACATAATGGTCAGCGTGTGTATACAAGGATGTCTGTGAAAGCTTGTTAACATCCATTGCAGTGTGACTCATGGTTACGCCTTGGATTGGCTCAGTACCGACTGTCAGTGCCTCAGGTACACTGCACTTTGAAGAGTGCCCAGCTCATGCCCCCAGCTCCCGTGACTCAGAATCCAGACAGGATTCATTCTGGGCCATTGTCAGCTATGCCCACCCCAGCCTCCCAGTCCCATAAATGATAAGTGAAGAGGCAAATACTTTATTGAAGGACAACTTTCAGAGTACACTTGCGAAGTGTCCATACCAGGAGCATATAAAGGAGGCCCTGGGAGTGCTTAGTGCGTTCCCAAGTATATGCACACCTGTAGGGGATATCTAGATGTCTTTGGTGTATTAATGCCAACAGATATGTATTTATGGGTGCATGGCCACAAGTATGTTGTGTGGATGTAAAGCATATCTATGTTTGTCGGTAACAAGTATGCTCTTAGATGGGAATTCTAGAGCACTTTATATGAGTAGTACAGTCTTAGGACGTGTGTGTGTGTGTGTGTGTGTGTGTGTGTGTGTGTGTGTGTGTATTCCCACCTGCACACAGATGGGTGTGTGTGTATGTGCTGGTGGCTGGGAATGGATGTGTGTTATACGCCTGCATTTCCAGATGGGCACCTGCAGATCCGATCACCCTCCTTCTGTGACCTAGCAGGCACAGCTCTGTAGACAGACTTTCCTCAAACTCTGCATTCACATGGAGGTGAGGGTCCTGGGGAGAGGAAAGAGGTCATTCTGGGCCTGCTACCTCTCTTCTCAGGCCTTGCCCTCCAAACTCTTAGAAGTCCCCTCTCCAGGCTCCTCCTCATCGTCAGCATCAACCAGGCCCTCTGGCATCGGCCACTCTCGAGTCTGCCACTCCAGCCTCTCTATGCGGTATGCAATCTTGAGTGCGCTGGACTCCAGTTCGGCCAGGAGGCGAGCGAACTTGGTCTGCAGCTCATCAAGCTGCTCATCCAGGCCTCTCAGGCGAGCCTCTGTGGCCTCCTGCAGGGCTATCTCAGCTGCCTCTGCATTCACATCCAGCTTGTTCATCTTGAGCAGGATCTCGCGGCCTTTCTCCTCCATGACAGCTTGGGCCTGGGGATACTCACTCAGCACCTCCCGCAGGTCCTCCTTGCTTAGACAGAACAGGTCTGAGTAACCCAGGCTCTTGATGTTGGCTGTGCGACGGTTCCCAGACATGTTCCCTGTGGTCCATGGGTAGACAGATGATGGGAGCGTTAGGAGGGTACAAGGAAGTAACACTTCATTCCTGAATGAGGACCCTCAACTCCATCCGACCTCTATCCCTGCCTGATTAATTTCTCTTCAGCAACGTACTGGGAGCCAGACCTTGTGCTGAAGTCAGCCTCTAAGAATTCATAACTTAAAGGAGATGGATATTTAAATGGAAAGTTACAGAACACTGACTGGTGCAGTGTAGAGTATGCATGAAGGACAGTAGGAAATCAGGCAAAGAGCCTCTAATGAGCTGGAACACTTCCTGGGATGTCTGAATTGAGGAGGAGGTAACTAGGGGTAGCGGAGGGGGAGCAGAAAGGCACAAGGACAATCTAGGCAGAGAGGGAGGAAAGCACGAGCTGAGGAATGGACATTTGTTTAAAAAGTTGCAGAGAACAGTGTGCAGTTCAGAGAGGTTAAGGGGTAGAATGTGAGAAGGGCAGAGGAGGAGAGAGAGAGAAAACCAGGCCATGCTGGGTCTTGAAGTCATGGCAGAATTCAGACTTCAGGCTCAGGGCACTGAAAAACTATTGAGTTATTTAGTGGGGGAGCTATTTGATGTCATATATGTTTTTAAAAAGAAGTTGAGAGAGGGAGAATGAAATTAGACCAAATACTGCAAAGTCTGAGAAAGGACCTTAGGAGAGAAAAGGGCAACAACTATGATTGAACACTGACTATGTCAGGCGTGTACTGAGTGCCTCACTCAGATGCCACTTGTTTAATCCTCATAAAGAGCATTTTGAAATTTTAATATCAATCCCTATGGACAAATGAGGAGATGGAAGCTTTAAGTTGTTGGGGTTTTGTGTGTGTGTGTGAGTGTGAAATCAACAAGTCAGAACCAACTCATAGCTCATGCTCCAGTGGCTATAAATTGCATGGAAGGAGATTGTCCATCTTTTTTCCTCAGAGCAGCCTGCAGATTCAAACCTACTGCCTTTGGGTTGGCAGCACAATGCTTTACCCTTTAGACCACCAGAGCTCCCTGAAAGCTTAATGAGGGACATGTCTAAAGTTATGCAGACTCTGCTGACTTTGCAGGATGTGGAGCTTGAGCGACAGATGTGTGGTGTTCGGAACACTAAAAGGTGAGACCTCCAGTCACGAGAGTCCTGGAACATCAGTCTAGAGCACATCTATCCTCCATGTGAGGGTGTGTGCAGGCAAGGAGGCTTTTTCCCTGCCCCCAACAAGACTGATGAGAAGAATGAATCAATAATTATGAAGCGGTCAGTCCAGAGTTACTGTTAAGTGGGAATTCCTCCTTGTCTCCTTTCCTTTCTACTTGACTGTTAGATATGTGTCTCTTGTACTGATCTAGTATGTGCTCCTTATTACATGTGCTACTTCTCTGTGCTTTAATTTTCTTATCTTTGAATTAGTGATAAGAATAATATATAAACTTACTTTAAGTAGTTGACACAATTAAACCATTTAGAAAAGGGTATTAAGAAAGCAATAAATATCAATGGCTCTTATGGATTTCCTGAGTAGCACAATGGTTATGCACGTGATGTCTCGCTAAAAGGTTGGTGGTTTGAATCCACCCAGTAGCACCTCATAAGACAGGCCTAGCAATTAGTTTTTGAAAGTTCATGGCCTTGAAACCCTATAAAATAGTTCTACTCTGAACATATGGAGAACCAAAGAAAAACTGACTAGACTGCAATTAATAACATTATTATTATTATTATTATTATTATTATTATTAATCTCTGTCCTGTTCTGCTGTTCTATTGGCTCTTAGGTCAATATCCACAGAGCATGTCTCCTCCCTCTTGAAAAGAACCACTCTGCTCACTGACTTTGGCTAAGTTTCTCTCAAGAAACAGATGCTCTGTGTCTTCTAATAACTTGGGCAAAGGATCAAAAACCTCAAAACTAGAACTCACTGCTGTCCAGTTGGTTCTGACTCATCATAGCCCTCCCCCAGGGTACTGAAGCTGTAAATCAAAATGGAGGACGCTGCTCTTGTTTCTGTCAAGAAGCCACTAGTGGATTCGAACCACCAGAGTGGTGCAGCCTTTGGGTAAACAGTTCAGATTGCTATGGATTATGCCACCAGGACTCCCCCAGGCAAGGGCAAGGCTGCCTTTGTTTATGGGTGCAGTGCTGAAGTACTATCCATCTTAGTCCTGGCTTGTGCAGTCCTCATCCCCTTCCCTGAGACCTGTTTTCAGAACAAATGTAGGGGTGCCCACCTTTGATGTTGATGATACTGATCTCCCCAAAGTAGAGACCTGCACCAAGCACAGCATATTGCGTGATGCCGTCATCTGCCACCACAGCCAGTTGACCCTCACGGATGATGTACATCTCTCGACCAATGTCTCCCTTTCGGCAGACATACTCGCCTGGAGAGTAGGTCTGGGGTTGCAACTTCAACACCAGCTCCTCCAGGAGGCTGGCCTCACAGTTCTGGAAGATCTGCACTCTACTCAGAGTGGACAGATGTACAGACACAGCTACTTCTGCCCGCAGTCGCTCAGGCAAGTGCTGTAAGATGGCTACCTCATTGGTCATCTTCTTGTTGATCTGCAAGTGCTGATACCTGGGGACAAGGTCAAGACCAGGACCTCATCAGTCCTTCACACATCTGCCTCCATCATCATCCATCAGGGCTCAGCTCAGCTTCAGCCAGGAGCCCAGTCACAATGGAATCTCACAGGAGGCGTAGAAGTACCTGCCTTCCAACTGGAAGCATCAGTCCAGACTCTCCTTTTCTACTCACAAATACGTTTAATTTCTCCTCCTTCCCCCTATGATTATGAGACCCTCCATCACTTGATACTAGATAAGCTATCCTTTATCTCCTTTTAGCTTCTATACCTACTGCCCTAGACCAGTGACCTGTCTTATACCAGCCCATAGATTATGACTTGAATCACTAAGGCCCCTTCCCTCTAGAGCTACTCTGCTATGGGCAATTCTGTAACCTTTCTATTGGGGGCCCACAGTATGTTCTCTCACTGCATAGCAAATCATTCTGTTGTTGTTGTTGACCTTTCCTATGGGGCATTGCTCTTCCTTTCCTGTACCTTTTTGAGGCCTCCCAAGCAATGACTGCTCCCCATTCTCTGGTCTTCATGTTGATCCTGAGGCACTGGCTGTGTAGGCTGTCTCCAGGCTGCTGGTGCCTGAGCGCCTCTCTCTATCAGTTCCTTCCTCCCTCCCTCCCTCCCTCCCT